CAGTGGTGTCATTACGGCTCACAGCAACCTCAAACTCCTGGGCTCCAGTGGTCCACCTGCCTCAGCCTCCTGAGTAGCTGGGACTGTAGGCGCCCACCACAGTGCCTGGCTAGTTTTTCTATTTTTAGCAGATATGAGGTCTTCTTCTAGTTCAGGCTGGATCTCGAACTCCAGAACTCAAGTGATCCTCCCACCTCAGTCTCCCAGAGTGCTAGGGTGACAGGCATGAGCCACTGTGCTCAGCTACACTTAGAACTTTATTTAAATCTTCCTCAGTTAAAAAGTTAAAACTATAATATGAGATCATATATAAATGGATTTTTTTTTTGTTTTTTTTTTTTGGCTATGACACATGCTCATTCTAGTTTTCCTCTCTTCTTAAGGAGAAAGAATGCCCCAGGCCTCCCTAGAAAAAGAAAATACATTTCTACAACTGGAAAGCCCCCTCATTCCTTGTCCCACAGATGATTGCAGTTTTCTATGGTTTTTGAATCATAGAATGAGCTCAGCCTGTTCTTGGGACAGGCCTTCAAACTAGACAAACAGAAACAGCGCATATTGCCACAGCTCCAGGAAATGATTTTAAACATATCTCGATTCTGTGTAGATGGTTGGTGATAAGGATTGCATCATCCAGATTCGAACATCTTGTGTGTACAATGAGGACTCTGAGGATGGATGGCCCTCCGCCTACACCAGGGGGAAAACAGACCACAACTTTATTTACAGCCAGAGGGCCATCCTGCTGTTCTGCTTGGGAGGGAAACTTGCTTTTTAAACTATCCAGCTTGCTAAAGACTGTAAAAAAGGCCCAAGAATTATCAAAGCCATTATCACCACTGTTTCTAGAGTAGAAGTCCCTGGTGTAATAAAAGTATAATAAGGAAAACCAGTGAAAGAGTTAAGATAATTTTGTTAAAACTGGTAGATCCCAGTGTAAAATATGCCTGTATATTCTTAAGGGCACAGCACACAGGGAAGTGCTGAAATTGTCCATTAAAAATAATGAAGTGTGATTTAAGAAAACTCAGCCTTAGGAAAGAAGGGAAGGGCTGCGAGGTAGAGTCAGGGTTCAAAGAGAGTGTAAAAAAAAGTCAAGGTAAGCAGAGGAAAAAGGAGCCAAAATTGCAGCTTCAGAACCATCAGTAAGAGAATAAAGAAAATAAGGGGTGTCTGTGTGTGAGTGTGCAGGCCATGTGTACTGTATGTATGAAGCCAAGGAGGAAAGACTCGCAGTTTAAGGAATTCATATTCATAACACTTTCTGTGCCCAAAGCTAACTTGATTAGTATCAGAAGGAAAGTTAATGTTTAAACAGTCTTCCTCACATCTGCTTCTTCCATAATGTCTGTACAATTGTCATAAATTAGGAGTGGAGAAGGGCATAGTGCCAACTGTCAAAACAAATAGGCAGTTTGGGATTCCAAGTTTCATATGAATTTCCTTGAGCCTGAGACTGGTGAAGGCTGCTGTCCTAACCGTGGCCCCGTCCAGCAGTGCAATGGAATAACCCACTCACCTAGATCCTGGCCACAGCCCTGCCCTCTGTGGCACGGCACCTTGGCAGGACTAGGCTAATGACAGAGGCCATGAGGGCACTTTGTCCCCCTAGGGTGCCAGGCCTTAGAAAGAGCAGATGAGCTCTTAATGTTAAGTTACAGCTGTGACACTGAAGGAATGCAGACACCATTAACTACGAAGTTGGCACTTAGTTAGGCCTCCCATATTATTCTTGGTTGCCTACTCAGCATATGAATCTTCCTCATTGACTCTGCTCCACACTCCTTAAAGTCAACATCCATGTTTTGCACATTTTGCACTTCACATAGCATCCAGCCTATGGTGGACTGGAAGGGCATGCCCATGGCCTGGCCTCTCCGGCTTATTTGCTTCAGAAATACAGATCAGTGAAAGGACCCAGACAGGCTCGCCTGGCAAGCTGTGCTCTCTTTCCTTCCTGCGTTTTGCCTCCACATGGCTCAGCCCCTCAGGTCAGACAGGGGATCTCCCTTCTCTTCCTCTGTGTGGGGATGTGTGCTCATGCCAGGGGCCCGGGAGATACACGCTGAAAGGAAGTAAGGCCTTGAGCTGAAGCTTAATGCTGTGCCTTCCCAGAAAGCTCTCTGCTAGGGTGCAAAGCATTAGCCCAGCCAATAACAGAGTGGTGCCTTATTTCCCAAGAGCCACTGTCCTGTGTTTACACATTTTTCAGGAATGTCACGGAAGGCCACGACATAATTTAGAAATGTCTGATGTTCCCAGTCTTGACATCACCCTAAAACTACCAGAACCTCACCATAAACTGCAGATAGACCTGTCTTGTAACGGGTCCTTGAATACTTAGAGGGAATACCGGAGAGAGACAGAGGGGACGGCTGCCTCTCTCCTTCCCAGGCCCCTGCCTGACAGACAGTTCCTGACAACTCTTTGTCTCTATTTCTCTAATTCAACTTCCAACCTTCAGTGTGACCAGTGGTTGAGTTCCCTTAAATCCTTGATAGGCTTCTCATCTTTCATGACATCTGTTACTGATGGTGGCTCTTTCTCTTAGATTTAATCTGCCCCAGGAAAGCTGTTACTTAGAAAGAATAATCTTGAACTCAGTGTAAAGTTATCCTCAGTGAGGTCACACTTGGGAAGCAGAGCACTGGAGTTCATCTGAAGGTCTGGTTCAGCTCATACTTCTTAGGTCAGTCTATTATGGTTCATCTTGTAGAATGAATCATTTAGAAGTAGAACTTTCATTCAGTCATTCCCAAATAGTTACTGATCCTCTACTCAGCCCCAGGTACCACCACTGAGAACACAGCAGTGAATAAAACAATGTCCCAGCACTCAGAGACAGGGCAGAGGCAGGTAATGAACATACAAACAAATAAGGTCTTTTCAGATTGTAACAAGTGCTAGACAAAGTAAATTAAATCGGCGTCCAAGCTGGAATGACTAGGCTATATATGTAGGCTTGCTCTGAAAGGTCTGTTAGGAGGAGACAGTTGAGCTGAGACTGAAAGGTGAGAAACAGCCAGCTAAGTGACGGTCCTCAGACTCTTCTGAGCAGGAGAAAAGGATATATAAAAGCTTTGAGGCAGAAATGAGTTCTGTATGTTCAAAGAACAGACAGAAGACATAGTCCCTGGTGCAGAGAAAACAAGGGAAAGGGGGTGATAGATGGTGTAGAAGAGGCAGACTGACGCTGATGCCAGATCGTGGAGGGTCCTTTAAGGAATTTTAAATTATTCTCATTGCAGTGGAAAGCCACAGAAGGTTTTCACCTAGGGAGTGATCCAAGTTTTTCTAAGTTCACGCTGCTGTCTGTGGTGAGAGAGCAGAATAAAGTAGGGCAGGAGGGGAAGCAGGAGACTGGCTGCGAAGCTCCTGCCACGGCGGCTGCAAGAGCTGGTGTTGGCTTCAGTCACAGTGGCAGCAGGCGGCGGACAGGAATGGCCAGATAATAGGTATTTGGGGGGTAGACTCAATAGGACTGGCTATGGATGGGATAAGGGGGAGGAGGGAAAATGAGAGGAGTCCAGGATTTGTGGTTTAATTTGTTGGTGCAGAAAATCAGACACTTATGTTCTCTAAGTTGCATTAAAATGCAGATGTTAAATGAATTATTTGATATGAGAATCCATGGGACAAACGTGGGGCTGGATATGTGAGATTTTGGGTCATTAACAACTTCATCTGTTAGATCTCAAGGTCAAAATATACTCACCACATCATCTTTCTAGCCAACTCAGCACTATGGTTACCAAAGCATAATTTGATAATTATTAAAGATGCAACTCTCTCCCATGTCCCAAATGTTTACAGTAATTGCTAATCTTCTGGTTTCCAACCAGACTGTTCCTATTCCTCCACATGACTGACAAGCTGGCTCTGACATGCGTTGCTTTCAAGTCTCCACACATTAGTTAATCCTCCTCTCCCGCCCCTTCATCTCCACCACCTAAAACTCACCTCATGATTCACCTCCTCCAAGAACACACTAGGCTGGATAGGAGAATTCTACATTTTTCTTTGAATTCAAACAAAAGCTTGCACAGAAAAAGGGTTAAAAATCATAGTTTATATTTGACAAACCAAGAACAGACCATTTAATCATTGGAGAGAGATCTAGAGGGCACAGATCCAGGATCTGAACTTTCAGGGTGAGTGGGGACAGTCTGGAA